TAGTAGTAGTAGTAGTAGTAGTAGTAGTAGTAGTAGTAGTAGTAGTAACGAGGCGAACACGTAAGCAATATGAACTGTTAGATGGATTTAGTGTCAGAGCCCTTGTATTCAGTCATCATGGCCGTTTACACCAGCCCGGTGCCTGGCCCAATGATGCCGATGCTATGGTGGTGGCGGAGATCTCTTGGAACAAAGGTGGTCCCTCAGAGCATCCTTCTGGACAAAGGCCAGGAGCCAAAGGACCCGTGTGGTTCAAATCCTCCACAATGATCCGGTGCCTTACAATGTGAACCGTGGAACACCTCCTTTGTGGAATCCTAGTAGTACGGCCAGGAGCCCCTAGTAGCTTCTTGCTCCTAGAAGCGATGCCCTTTGCTCCTGGTAGCTTCTTGTTACTAGGAGTAAGGCCAGGAGCCCCTAGTAGCGTCCTTGCTCCTAGTAGCGATGCCCTTTGCTCCTAGTAACTTCTTCCTGGCTTTTGACTTTTAACCAAGTGGCGCAATCTCGTCCGCAAAAGGCTTCGTTTTGGACTGAAGAGACTTTAACACATTCGCAGCTTCATCTCCGACGATGTCCGGCCTCTGTGCTAGGGTTTGACCCACCTTGACAAAGACAGGGCCCAGCTTTTGTAGGCTGCCTTTGAGATATTCTCCACCTAGAAGAGTTGCGACGTCAAAAGCTGATTATACAAGCCTTTGTCAGCCCCACTCTAGGAGGTGTGTGACTATTGAGCCATTAGGTTTGGAGTATTATAGCGATAAAAGCATGTATGATGTGTGACTTGCCTCGCCACAACTGCATTGGCATACTGTACTATTCTATTGTATTCTATTGGGCATATATATATATAACATATTATACTATCTGTCTAGGTCTTAGTGAAGTAAGCAGCATCTGCAATGAGAACCTTCTGGGTGGGTGATTGTTACGACTTGATGCTATTAATGAAGATACACACAATTGCTTTGTAAACGAGTGACGGCTAGTACCCTCTCTTGGATTCGTCCAAACTTGCCAGGCAGGTAGAAGAACTTGCCCGATCTCATAGAAACGGCGCAGAATCAAATGTGGCCGTCGGCTAAAGAATCGAAACCTCAGCAAAGCAGCTATGGCATGCATTAGCAATTCTATACTTACAGTTTTTTCTGAGGTCAACTAGCCAAGTAGCAACATTTGAGCGCTTCTGAAAACTTTGATAGATTCCTATGTCAATCTATGTCATAACACATGGCTTGCACGAAAGTTTACGCAGCGCCTAGGCGACTGCAGTTTTAGCTCACGCATAGTGGGTTGATTACGCTACGCAACCTTACGCAACTAGAGGTTTTGCTTACGCCCCACAATATGACAATGTGACACAACGTCTTAACGAAGCTTGAGCAGCCCTTATGCGACCAAAGCCTTTGCTTAAAGGGATCACGCAAAAGGGTCATTTGACGTCTACTCTTCAAGTATTCTATAAAGTTGCCAAAATCAACTTGACGACAAAAGCAACATGTTTTTGTTTCCCAGCAATCAGCATTTGACTCAACGTCTTCGATCCAACCAAACGTGAACAATCAACTCTCACAATAAAAAACACATTAAGCACGTTCGGGCTAATGCAAACAAGGAGCATTTTATCTCTTGAAAATCCATCACGCAAAAGCTCATCATATTCACTGTCGCGTTCTTGCTGCACAAGCCAGGCTTCTATCACCGGGCTCGCAGCCCTTGAAACCAATCGGCGCTGTGGCGCTCTGGACCCTCTGGGCGCTGTGAACAAAGGTGGCAGGATTGATATGATTGATTGCAGAAGAAACACAAGAAACGAAAGGGCAGCGAGCTTCAAGAGACGACGAGGTGAAACCATCACGAAGTTCGAGGCATTGCTGAATGGAGGTCGCTTCACAGGCGGATCATGTCTACAAACTTAGGAAACACGAGGACTTGAGCAGAAACAAGCGAGGGATTCGAGGTCCTTTCAAATGCAGTACAACAACAAAAGGGTTGATGCCCCACCTTGCTGTGGACACACACACAAAGCCCTAGAGGAATCAAACGGCAACTTGAGGGCAATACAAGTGACTCATCTCAGTCCAACCAACTTTGTTTTTCAGTGGTCCGTCTGGATAGAAGAATGGACACATACGGATCACTCACCTCACAGTCACAAGAATCTGTTACAATGTGAGGATTATACTGTACACTCCATGATAGCGGCCTGTGGCCTCGACGAATGAATCCAAGTTATCGCTTGTGCTTTGATGTTTATTGATTGGTCGCAACACAGGTCATGGGACCGGATCTATGTTGTAGAGCAAACGCTTCAAGACAGTTTTCCGGGCAAACCAGCCCTATGCGATCATAACACAGCATATTGTAGCCATACTTGTCTGCGTTCCATAGCCACAAGTACACAACCGTATTATTCATAGGCCATCGGAGGCCATCGCTGGTATATAGTTTCATGTACAGTATTGGTATTCCTTTCATTTCCTTTGCATCTCTGCCAAAGCCGCCTGTCTGAAGCCAGCTGTAGCTAGGCCCAGCTAGGCTAGACTGTACTGACTGCCTGCGCTCATGAAAGCTTCACACTGGTGCCTGGAAGGGTCTCTCGATTTTTCAGCTTGCCCAGCCTCAAGAGCCACAAAACACATCTGTAATTTCAATCTTCCTTCAACTCCTTGTTGTGGCTTGTTGCGCTCTGAAACCTCTATGTCTCCGGACGTATATCCAACCATGGGCGGCACAAACAATTTTTTGGGTTTTGTGGCGGTGCTGAGAAGTTTTGGCAAGTTTTTGATTTGCTTGCAAACTGTGGAAACTTCAACCACAACCATGAGCAAAGAGATGCTTAGCATGTCAGTCTGTGACAACCTGTTTTACCTACTGTATATATAGAGACATGACCAGAACACCTCCCCTGTGACTCTTCAGGAATCGAACGGATGGCTACAGAAGTGTTGAACGAAGCACAGCCCCGCACTACGCAGGGCATAGTGAAGAAAACTGCAAATGTTTTGGCACGTACTAGGGGCTCCTGGCATCGCTACTAGGAGCAAGAAGCTACTAGGAGCTTTTTAGCTATGTGAAGCAGGGAAGCACTGAGTCCTTCAACCAGCATGGCCGCGAGGGGCGAGGCGTCCAAAAACTTCCAGTGGCGTCTTTACAGCCTAGTAGTTAGCTTCTATTTAGTTCTTTCAATGTTAATTCTATTTCTTTCCTGTGTCTAATAGCTTCTTGTTACTACTACTAATGCCAGGAGCTACTAGTAGCTTCTTGCTTCTAGTAAGGTGCCTTGCTACTAGTAGCGATGCACTATAGTAGTGTCAAACGTTTTCTTAACGATTGGCCAATGTCTTTAGCCGATCTTCAGTGAAACTCCCGCACAGTGCTGTACATGTTGCCATTGCCTAGCTACTTGAATTCAGAAGGTCCAACAGCTAAATCCAAACACAATCCCGGACGTGCGTGAAAAAAAAAAAAACAGTAGGAAAACAACATGCTGTGTAGCTTGTTGGGCCCGCAATTCCACAATTGAGCATCGTGCTGCTTGCAAACAAGCTGCACAAATTCGATGCTACAAGTAGGTAGGTGGATCACTTAGATCCAGTGTCAGGTGCTGACGTTGGCGCCTCACGCGCGAGATGAAACAGGGCACCTTTGGTCACAACAACCCAACGTGCCAACATGCACAAAACCACACACAATGCAACTACAACGTTTGCCTTCACAGCGTGACATGGACTTGCATGCTCGTCTTGATTTCTTCTCACTGCCTTTCCCTTCTCCCAGTGATCCAACTTGCCCTCCACAAAATGGCCCACATACGCCTGAGTTTCATCCCAGAAACAAACAAAATACATTCACTGCACTTCACTTCAAACCACTTTGCTCCTGGGCTCAATTCTGCTTTTGCCACTAGGACCCTCACGCCGCCATTCCGGTCTGTCAGGATGCCGCGACCATGTTGCACTCCATCCTGCACTCTAAGGCAAGTCTTCAACACGTTCCTGAGGACACCTTTCAACTTGAGTAGAAACAAGAAACTACTAGGAACAAGTGCATCGCTTCTAGTAACAAGTGCCTTACTAGTACAAACAAGAAGCTAGTAGAAACAAGTGCCACGCTACTAGTACTGTAACAGGTGCCTTACTAGTAGTAACAAAGTTTCTCTAAACATCGTCACAAGTCGCTCCCACCTCCCTGGCGGATTGTTCGGACCCTTCAGCTGAAAAACTGGTCTTTTGATTTCATACCTTCCATGTGCCTCTAAATTCTCTAGATCCCTCTAAGCCCCCACATGCTAGCTGATTATCTAACTGTTTACGTAGTCGGAGGGTGAGGAGGGGTAATTGTGCAAGTCGAAGACCTTAGGCTCCTCATGGTTCCTCAAATTAAACGACCATACAAACGTTCGCGGGAGCACCCCCAATTCGCACGATTGCTGTCTACAGTACATTTTGTGTCTACTGCAGTATACTGCAAAATGGTTGAAGCATTGTCTGATGTTCCTTTTCGTATGTTCTTCCTTGTCTTCCGTCCTTTCAACGGATCATGATATGCCGCATATGCCCTCCTTCCAAGCACCTTCGTAGCTCATCCACTTACCGGAAGTCCAAGCCTCTCCATGTGGTTGCAAATCGGAGCAGCATGCATGTCCCCACACTAACCAATGTCCTTGAGCCGTTAATTGGGCACGAAAAAATGCGTGCAAACAAATCGTGCCCTCCAAAAGCACTTGGAATCCGTACCATCTTCCCCAGTCCATGCCGTTTGTTGGCAGCAAATTCCCCTTTGTACCTGAAGCTGGGCAAACTATAAATTTGATTGCAAAAACGGGGCAGTAAAGAGTATATATGACATCAATTCAATTTGGTGTGTCAAACATCTGCTGGCTTTATGCGTTGTGTCGTGACACTACAGTTCTTGAACCAATTTGCACTCACCTGGTGTCAATCCCGGTGCTTTGTGACAACAAAGCAAAGCTCACTCCACGCCATCTACCCACTGCATGCAGCCATAGCCAGACATGCAGTCCTGCTGGTTGGTATCAATCCGTTTCTTGTTGCATATCAAATTCTAGATGCAACAATGATAAACCATACCAAATCATAGCAACATGTACATGATTGTACATGCATACGGAAGCTTGCAGGAATCCGATGAAGGCCTACTTGTGGCATTTCTGATCTTCCGCTTGTTTGTGGCTCTTATATTGAGACTTCTACGCTTTGATGACCCGGCCTGCACGAACTGCCCTCGGTATACTGAGTTGTCTGTTCCTCGGTAAATTGGTTCTGCTTTTGGTGTTGCTCAACAATCAGCTGACTTCTAATTCTATTTATATTCTAGTAGCTTCTTGTTTCTAATAGCAAACATTGTTCCTAGTAGTAAGGCCAGGAGCCCCTAGTAGCGATGCCCTTTGTTCCTAGCTTCTTGTTCTCAACAAACAAGTCAAAGGAGTCACGCCCTCACTGTAAAGGGATCCCAGCGAATCAATTCGCCATCACCATTTGCGCGGCCTCGCTCAAACATCCCAGTGTACCTGCAGGAATGCACCATATGTAGATATTTGCAAGTGTGACATGGTTTCTTTGATTTTCTTTGCTTGCGTGTTCAAGTGGATGTTCAAAAGGACAATGCAAGTACATGTACAGTATAAGTCAAGTCCCATCATCCTGGATGTCCAATCAACGCCAACATGGCGGTGTTGCCTCGATCCTTCAGGCCAGGTCATAGTGCCATGACCATGACGCATGCCTCGTACCTTTCCGCTTGCCAGTTCGAAGTTCTATCATCTCATAAGATGCTATCTATCAAGTTTGTACAAGATTACACAAGTAAGATCCAGCAAACTTTTAAGCACTTTGTGCATTTGTGCGACACGCACACACACACAGATCGACGAATTACTCTATGTTCACAATTTTGTCCCGTGGTGATACATTCTCAGCTAGAATACTTTGGAAGCAAAGCTGCAACGAATTAAATAACATTCTCTATCTTTGACTTCCCTTCAACACAGCTTGTGCCAAGGACACATACAGTCCGGAGAAGACAGTGCCATCTGCCCAATGTTCTTTCCTCGGGTGATAGAGATATTTAAAATCTGGTCGTTCTCCTTAATGACCTGTGAATTTGTCGCAGTGTGAAACATGTGGAGCCAAGTCAGGCGAATGCAATGTAGTGCAGTGATTGAGGCTCCGCACCCGGGTCCATGTCGTTCATCATTGCACCATTCGGACTCGTGCTTCGTGCCATCCTGACCCCGAATCGCTGGCCATTGATGTTTTCAAACTTAAACAATCGACAATTGTCGACAATTCAACAAATTCACCCCTCGCTCCGGAAGGTGTAAAACGCCATGGCCGTGGCGCATGTAGTGGAGGAATTCTCCTGTACCAAGACCCACAGTCACAGTCAAGTATATATATATATAATATCATCTGACAAGTGGAAGGCAAGATCAATCAAGAGGATGCTCTGCAAGCTTCTCCTTCATAGCAGGAGTTGTTTGGGTAAAGGACTTTCCTGGAATTGCCAGCATCAAAACCCAACGCAGTCACCAGCCTAATCCAGCACATGAAGTCGATTCTGCAATACTACTTTTTTTTTAAAATTATCCTTGTGGATTATATGATGTATGAATGGACATGTAGATGTTTCTTGATGTTCCTTGTTCACAAAACACTCCAGCACATGCCTTCACAGACTAACGTGAACTTGGAATAAGACATGCCTGATTCACCCACAACCGTCTTTTGGTATGCTTGTAGAGGGCGTCTCATCATCCCTAGTCGTAGTTGTGGAGGCTGTATCAGCCTGTGCTTTCGGGCCATTGGCTTCAGAAAGTGCTTGTTTGCGGCTCACGATGTAGCGACGTAGCTACCTCTGGCCAAGCACCTGACCATCACACCTCGGCCGCGGGTTTTGAGCAAGTAGACCAAGAAGTGGCCGAAGACGTCTCGTTGAGAACCTGTGTTCTCGTCTCGTCTTTTTGTCAAGTTTTGATTCCATGAAGCAAAAATCAAAGAGGCTGGCCGTTGCGAAAGAGGAAGGAAAATGAGCGTGCCGGTGTCTGCAGAATCAATGCCTTGAGAAGAACGCCGTTTGTGGTTATTGTGATACATCTGTGACAAACAAGACTGTAGAATTGAAGAAAACTCCCCAAAGCCCAAAAGCAACGAAAAGCAAAAGCTCTACTTGGCGCTTTGCCCTGCGTGAGAAGTCTTGCACACTTTTGCGCCTCGAGACGGTCATTGATGAAAGGCTAAGGTGCATGTCCCCAGCCATGCCTAGCGGCCTAGCCTCTGGCAGAATTTTTTGAACTCAGGGCTCTCCAGGTCCTCGGCAAAACATGCAATTTTTTGAAAACACAAACATGTGTGAAGGAAACATTCGAGATCATTCGAGCCTTACAAAGGTCCACCAAGTCATCTAAAGAGATACCCACTGTCCCATTGCGACCTGCGAAATAAGTGTCACATCCTGCTCGTAGCCTGCTAGTTCCTTTGTCAAACACTATCTGTGAAGCCTTGATGCACTTCCACCATCATGTTCCTCCGATCAGCAAGCTTTAGGATGACAAGTTGCTTGTGATGCCTGTCTTATTGCATCAAAAGTCCAGTAGTAACCGTAACCTCAACTATCTCACACAGTCACATAAAGCAACTCGCCAATGAAATGGCAGCAAATTATTAAACAAGAACAAGTATCAAGTTTGAGTTGTCGGACTCAGTCCTGCTATCAACATGAAGGCGTCGTTCATAAGGCTTGCCATTGGTTGCAATCTGGCGAAAACACACTCAATGATAGCCTAAATACATTTTAGAACTCATTTTAGAACTCAGTGATAGCCCTCTCCTAAAAGTTGGACAAGGAGAGTTAGTAGCTTCTTGTTCCTACAGTAGTAGTAAGGCCAGGAGCCCCTAGTAGCGTCCTTGCTCCTAGTGGCGATGCCAGGGGCCCCTAGTAGCTTCTTGTTCCTGCTCGTGGCCTTCGTACAAAAAAGGCCATCTTTCTCCAGCAAGTTGGACCACCGACGAATCCATGCATCGTCCAAGCCAGATATGTCCTCAGGCACTTGAAACATCTGAGATCCCGAAATTATTGACTAAAAGACTGCCAAGGCAGAATTCAGTGTCAGTCCTGATCCAGGATGCTCTCCTTCGTTCCTACAAGCGGAATAAATTTCCATGTGTTTTCAGGAAGTAGCTTCGTTGACTGCAGTGTTGGTGATGAATCCTGTCCTTGCACAGCTCCACTTTCATTGGAATAATGAAACTGGCAGCACAATAAATACTAGACATATCGCATCAATGAAAGCTACACAGCTTCCAATTATACTGTTTTCCACTTGCAACACTAGCGATCTTGACATAAGCTTGCTTTGAATCACGGCAGGCGCACGAAACGGCTCAGAAAAGACCTGAGCTTTACGCTTCAATTGTCGCACAAAAAGAAAAACAACAAGGACTCCAAGGCTGTAAATTCCTTAGGCCTTTGCGGCTTTTCCTTGGAGTCTTTGGAGTCCTCAATTCAACAGGAAACAAAGTAGACAAATGGAAACACATGTATCAAACAAAATAAGTGGCACATTCACATTCGGTTCAAATACTATCTCTTGACATCATGGACGTGGAAACAAACTGGACAAGCTACCCCAACAAGCCAATCTTCTGAAAGACTGCACTTGGCACTTTGAGCTTACTCTGAAGCATGAAAGCCTAAAGAATTGTTTCTGGCTAAAGTACCCTTGTGCATGGGAATTTGATACATGAAGGCTGTGCTTGTCCTGCGCAAGTCGTGACACTTGAGGTACCCTTGGAGTTTGGGTCCATACCGATTGTTCGCACACTGCCAATCCTTCATGTGCTGCTTTTGTGCCAACTCGTGAGCACTGCTGGGAAGGTCCTGGCTGCTCTGATTCCCGCATGTTGTGGTGACCTTGTGCTGTGAATATGGTAATAGCCAAAACAACTAACAGGTCAGGTGAACTATTTTGCTGTGCCATGTGATGAGCCAACAAGGGAGTCGCAAACACAGGAACCGTGACTCATATATCTCTCGCTCCTCACTGGCATCTTCGTTGTAGCCACGCTGTCTTGTGGCTCTTATCACCCTGACGATCGAAACCAACGAAGAATGCTTGATTGTCAAAACACTCTCTAAAACCAATCAAGGGCCTTCTCGGAAAACCTCTACTTTGGACTGTGGAAACTGCATTTCTGGACAACTCTTTCATGTTTCCCTTAAGAGGATTTTAACTGGGCCCATGGCGATGAATGATGTGCCATGAGGGCATCCAAATCGGTTCTGTGCCTGGCAGGACTATTGCAATTCATGTAGGTCAAACATGATTTATTTGTTGTGATGCTGTGGGAACAAAATCCGACATAATCATCAAATCTCTCCCAAATACAGATTCCCTGCATACGCCTCTCGTAGTTTATGTGCACTGAAACATCAGAGTCCTGACAAACATGAATGGCTGATGACATGCTCACTCGAACTTACCTCCTCTAAGAAGTTCGAGTCCTCCAACGTCACACTGCGACCAGTTGTGACATGTTGTGACAAACTTATTTTAGGTCTATAAGAATGGTGCAAAGCAATAGGCTTAAGAAACGCTGTCTGGTAAGTATTGCTGCGCCAAATCCAATAGTCTCCTCGCCGGACTCTGACTTCTCGAAGTCACTTTCCTGTGCAGTTGGTATTCTCCGCTTGGAAGCATCGACAACAGTTGACAAATCTCAATTCTTCTTGTGGTTCATACCAATCAATTCCATCGGCAAATTTTTGCTCTCCGATGTGGTGTGGTGGTATAAACAAAGAAACCCAAAATTCAATTGCTGAAGCCATACAACCTCTTCTTCCTGACCGTCTTGCTCCTGCTGATGGTTGACGCAACATCTTGGCTCAGTTTGCAACTCTAGTGTTCTCGTAGAGGCTTAATTAATTGGGTCCTGCAGAAGCACCTCTGGCTGATTCAACATCTCCTCCTAGGTATGTGTTGCCACACACTTCTCGTAGGTAGGGTTACAGAGTGATTTTGCAAATGTACACAATGCGGCGATTGTCCTTCCAAGTGGACACCTGCTCGCAATGGGTTAAGTGGCATTTCAGCCATGTGCCCACGGTGAACTCTTCCAATCTTCCAAAGATTTCTATTTGATTGCCGCACGCATCTTATTCTTGTATATTTTGTTTGAAGACTTGCAAGCACCATCGTCGAATTATGTCACCAAGTCACTCGTGCGTCGCATTGAAAGCCCGGCAGTTTTTCGGGTGGAGGCCTTGGCTTCAAATGACGCAGCTGAAGCATTTGCAGCAGACTTGTTTGCCTTTCTTCTCTTCAGGGGAAAACAATTGCAAACCTTTGTGCCAGCCTCCTTGTTGTGTTCGTTGAAACTCAGGGCACTTAAAAGAATGGCTCATAATGGCTTATATAATGATCTTAATGCAAAAGTGAGTCCAAATGTTTGTGGCCATTTGCTTACTGTGCCATCTGCCCAAAACAGGATGTGTTCCAACAAAGCAGGTTTCCGGGTTTCCAGGCGGCGACAAGGGAAGCTGCGCATCAGGGAAAGCCACCTGGGTGCTGACTAAAATTGGATGCCTGTTAAGCTGCTTCCACACCTTCGACTGTCCATGGTTTTACAGCAAAGCTTTGCTTCTCACAAAGCAAGCACGAAATTCTGAGTCAACATGGGTGTAAGTATCTCATTGATCCTCCTTGCCTCTTTGCAAACCTCTCGACATCATCCGCAGCTTTTTTCCAGCGCTTTGGCTGCACGAACACATAGAGATTTGAATCGGCCGCCTGTGAACACCCTGCACAAAAATATGAAGGAAAGCGTGATGTTGCCTGGCCAAATTTCACCCGGCCTACCCGTAGCCGCTAGCCGCGCTCAGGCTTTCCTATTATTCAGGATAGAGCTAGAGCTGCGGCACAGGTTCCAGCTAGGGGAATTGATCACGTGTCACCAAAGAAGAGGACGACTACGTGCTTTCTTCGATCCATTGTTCTCACGGCTTCGGTCCCTTCAAGAAACAGTCGGTGTACGCGTAGATTCAGACACATTGGATAGACTGGCATGAAGATCGTCACAAGAATCATTACCCTCTTCCACATGAGTGGAGCTGCTGCGCACACGATCCTGTCACATTTGGCATGACTAATCGTTGGCAATCAGGTTACCGCACACATTACAAAATGACAAAACACGCTGTTTCACACGATAACTGCTCCTCACACCACAATTACTATTCAATTTATTCATGTTGTTGCTGCTGTTGTTGTCTTTTTTTGTGGTAGTGTCGGTTCTACTGTTTGCGTTGAGCATGAATGAGAACTTCTGGAACTCCAGGGTTGGGCTTGGGTTTTGTATGGAGGGTCGCTTCATCATTGATGCTCTGTGTCCAACAAATCCAAATGAGAGCATTTGAATTGGTTCACTACTCATGGACTAGTCAGGCTCAGTTGAACATTTAACATGGGCCTTCATCATGCACTGGTCAACACGTGTTTCTTCTGCGTGTGTCTGAATGCTCTTATACAAATTCAAATGCATACAAATGCACCAGAAATAATAATCAAAAAAACAACATCCTGGACAATATGGTCGCGCTAAGTAGGTTGCTTTGAGAAATAGTATGTGGAGGTAAGGTGTTGGGATTACTTCTATTATTGTTTCCTGGCAGTTCCTGAAGCTCCTATAAAAATCAACTTGCTTTCTTGACTGTCAAATTTGCTTCTTTTGAGCTCCTAATGGCTGACCTTTTGAATGCTTCCTTTGACACATGTTATTTTCCTTTGGGAATACATTGGTCTAACCATGTCAAAACCTCGTGTTTCAACAGTCATGCACATATCTTATTATACAAACGAATCAAATCTCCAACCTCCTTATTTGAGAAACCTCGGGGCTTCAAACAGAATAAACAAAACGCAAACAAAACGAGAGAGAAAGAGAGGGACAAAAGACAGAGAGAGACAAATAGAGAAATAGAGAGAGAGAGAGAAGGAGAGATGGGGAGCGAGAGAGAGAGGAGAGAGAGGGAGAGAGGGAGAGATGGAGAGAGAGAGAGAGAGAGAGAGTGAGAGAGAGGGAAAGAAAAAGAGAAAGAGTGGAGAGAGAGGGAAAGAAAAAGAGAAAGAGTGGAGAGAGAGAGAGAGTGTGATAACGAGAGAGAGAGAGAGAGTAGAAAAAGAGAGAGAGAGAGAGCGCAAGAAAGGAAAAGGCTCGGAAGGGAAGGAGAGGGGAAGGACGACCGCTGAGCAATGCAAAAATGAAAGGAAAAGGAGTCAAAGTTACGAAGCATCCTAACTGTGGCCGTAGATGCAACAAAATATCGATATGTACAAACTATTTCAGCATATATACATTAAATACCGAGAACCAAATTGATAGAAACAGCAAGCTGAATTGAGTGAAGGGACCTCCAAGACAGCCTCCGCGCGGTTGACCGCAAAGGATGCCTTCAAGGAACAATGACGAGTACTCTCATGCTTGGCTGATGACTCCTGCCTGTGTGGTCGGTCACAATAGACTCATGAACAAAGCACACAACCACTCTGCTTGATGTAGCTATATACTACGCACAAGTTACTTGTGTATATATATATATCGGTATTTCAAGGCATCTGTTGAACCTAGTCTAATATAGTTTAATGATGTTTAATAATCAACAGTGGCGTCCAGTTACATCCACCATGTAAATCAGTTGTGGGAGGCAGCAACCATTTGATGCAAGCCATTGCAAATCCAAAGACCATGGAGTCTCAAGCGAACTTGAATCAAATCATTAAACTTGTGTTCTTAGACTTTGAAGCCCTGAAAGGTTCAGAATTCATGTCTTTCATTGCAGCTGCGGTGCTGCGCCCAGCAAGGTCATGACCTGCATTTTAGGGAACAGTATCAAATCCAACAAATGCATTGCAAGCTCTGAGAAGCTGAGGACAGTGCAACACTGGCATATCTCCACCACGACACAGGCAACGGTGGTGCAAAAAGGCCAACCGTGTCAGCAAAAGCCGCTGTACTCAATTTGCCTCGCGGACTGCTGAGCAAGAATTTGAGACAGCGTGCTGAAGACCCATATGTATAAAGGCATAGACCACCAGGCAGTTATAAATAAACAGTCTTGACAAAACTATTTCCAATTGTTTCAAGGGGATGAAACAATAGTCGTGGCATTTCAATGTTTTAGATATTTGCTAAGATCTCGTACATCTCGAGACTCCACGCTGATTGCATTTTATTAGAACTCTGTCAAAACATGATAAAACTATAAACAGGCAAGAACAATGCCAAAACAGATTTCTAAGGGGCAGTCCACCCATACCCTTGTATTAATTCATACATTGTAATGTAGTTTCCAAATAGAACTATATCGTAATAGTAGCAATAATATTATATATATGTGATTCTTGAATGGGATGCAACCATCTATCAGAATAGTTTCCCTAAAAGCAAATTCACCACTGAAGTTCCTATAGATTTCCAAAAACAATGAATGCATGCTTGTCCTGACAAGTGACAAAAACATGTACAAAACTATTCACCTGTTCTGGCCTGCTGTGATCAGAATGAAAGTGGGAGAATACCCAAGGCTTTTTGGCAGCTCGGCCAAAGAACATGTGTAGAAGGCTGATTGAAAACCACATAGTAGCCAAATCCACCAGTCCGAGGCCCGAAATTCCAGAGGCACATCAGCCTTGACCTACGGCCGCTTGAACACTGGACCAACATGACATATCATGAGATGCAACATTATCTGTGTCATCAGTCACTATGTCATGTTGTAGTCATAGTCATAGCCATAGCTATTATTATAATGCTACAACATAAGGAAACATCCACGGGCACAAAAACACGCCCTTACGTCAGCTGCGTTTGCAACAGGTCACTTATTCCCCCACCTCTTGGATATACACAGCAAAAAAACTTTCCCGAGTGTTGTCATTGATCCACCGCCGCTCTTCAAGAACACTCGCAGCACACTTCTCACAATGAAAGACTGGAGTTCTGTCAAGTGAGAAGCGGGAACACAAAAAAGCCTTCAGGTTTAGTACCTACGGCTTGAGTGCCGCAGGCCCTGAAAATGCCTATAAACAAGCCAGAAAGCCTAAATCAACAGGATCAAAGAACGGCATCCGACTGTATAGACTCCAAAGTCTGAATAGCTCAAAAGTGCGAAAACGTTCCAAGGGATCGACGGCTCGTTTACGAGCAAAAACTCCAAGCATCCAAATAAACACAAGCGCTTGACTGCAATTCAGTGCAACTGACGACGAAGACTTGCTCCAGATACAATTGGGGGCCCAGAAGGTAGTGTCGAGTTATCACAGGTAGATCACTGGACCTCTCCAGCGATATGGCAGAATGTCTTGAGTCTTAACTGTCTTCGTTGGCTACAGAACTATGACATTCCATGCAGCCCCCTGCTTCGTAGTGAACACACCTCTCACCATCAGGAACACGTCGCCCCAAGTTTCATCCAAGCGGCAAGCACAAAACAAGTGGGTAGACCCCAAATCATCGCCGTGATGTTACAGAACGCTGCAGACCGAGCAGATGACCCCAAATCAAGTGCCAAACGCTTGTTCATCTTGGCCTCCAGGGACCCAAGTTGGCACAATATCCACGTGGACAAACCATGGTGACAAATTACTGAACCAAAACCACAACGTGAACATGAAACGCAAACTGCAGTCCATCTCGAAAGCAACCTGTCACAATTATAGCGTTGTAGGGTGCAGTCGCTGTATTTTCACCCAGGCCGTACTTCCAATACCTCGGCCTACTCAAACTCTTGCCTTTCTCTTGCAAGCATTCCCTGTATCTAGGTTGGAGGCCATCAGTCTTAGGGGTCTGTCTGAGCAAACGCGCAAGGTTTCCACTCACTGGAGGCCTGCAGGCTGTAGGAAATGCCAGCTCCAACTGCCCCTAAAGCATACAGCACACAAGTGATCTCGTTTCCAGACCTCAATTTAGTGGCTAATGAGGGTAAGGATGCATCGGCGTTCATGACTTGGACAAGTGTATGCTGTATACGATGGGCATCTTAAGTTTGACTTTTCCTGGCAGAGTGTGTATTCGCATCAGGTAACAGGTATCTACACATATCTATATATATACACTGTATATATCAAACATGTTATTTAAAGGCTTACGCCTGACAGCCGGGCGCCGGCCCAACAGAGGACAAAAGTAGGACGGCACGATGTGGTTGTCTCCGTCTCCGTCTCTGTCTTCTCTGTCTTCTCTGTCGCTGTCTCTGTCTTCTCTGTCTCTGTCTCTCTCTCTCTCTCTCCTCTCCTCTCCCTGTCTGTCTCGGTCTCTGTCTCTGTCTCTGTCTGTGTCCGTCTCTGTCTCTGTCGTCTCTGTCTTCTCTGTCTTCTCTGTCTCTGCTGTGTGGGGCCTATGTGGCCACATCTTGAGGCTATCTTGGCCCATCTACGGGCTATGCTTCCCATATCTGGGACCGATGTAGGGTCATCTTGCGGCTATGTGTGCCATATCTGAGACCTATGCTGGGTAATCTGGAGGGCCAGGTTCTGTCCGCCCGGCGCCAATTACCGACACCACCCTTGAAAAACCGTGTTTTTGCATTTCTCCCTCTTCGCCGCGCCGCGTCCCCTTTCAGTATGCGCAATAAACCCTGTAAAGCACAGTGTTTTGTGTACCTCAGCCGTTGCTGTTGGAACGTGCCCGACACCCACGAAATGTCGATTAATCCTGTCCGCGCGGCGTGCATTACCGACACCACCCTTGAAAAATACAGCATTTTTGCATTTCTCCCTCTACGCCGCGTCGCACTTCTGTATGCGCAATAAACCCTGTAAAACACAGTGTTTTGTGCACTTCACACACACACGAAACACTGTAAAACACATGACCTGAGGTAGGAGGTGAACACGTGTGGTCGGCGGCAGGGGGCGCCGTTCCCTAAAACTGGGCGCAACACGGGCTGGCCCAGGGGCCGGCGCCCGGATTTAGTATACTTGAGAGGAGGGAGACACGAAAGGTAGGACAGCGGGAAGAGAAGAGAACGCGAGAGGCAGGAACAAAAATGCAATGTTCGACATGGTGATTTATCCCCTCGGAGGCGACCTTTCGTAAACATAATTTCATACGCACTCTAAATGTTCAAACATGTGCTCTCGAAATGTTCAAAAAGATTCTTAGGAAAACAAACTTGCCCCATGGCTCAGATCATCGGTGAGCATTGAATCGGAACATCATAGGATTTGAACTATCCTGAAACCATAAGAGGCTCACGAAAACGCTCCCCAGGAGAGAATTGACGTGCTTCACAAAACAAACTCTAGGTATGTATCCCCTCGGGGAACACCTTTCGTGATTAGAATTTCATATTCACTCTTTCTGAATGTTCAAGAGGGTTTCAACTATCCTGAAATCATGAGAGGCTCGCGAAGACGATCTCCAGGAGAGAATTGATTTTAGAGGGGGGGAGGGGG